CTAAAATATTAGGATTCTATAAGAATAGATACCTATAGATAGCTTTGTATCTAGGCATTGTATTATAAATAAATAAACATATCTTTGCTCTAAAGTAAACCATGTCTCTATGCTTTGAATAAATATACCAAACTGCCCTAGTTAGGAAACATTCCACTTCTACACCGCTTCATATCTCACCCTGTTGTATTAAAGATCTCTGTCACTGTGTGCTATGTTGCAGGTGGTAAATTAAGAAGGCTACCCCACTTGTAACAATAGATACATAGATTATTTCAAATATTTCAATTAATAATGACTGAATTGATTTGAATTAAAGATTGTTTAACCAAATAAGGCCAGACGATAACTAATAAAACTAATAAGTGCATACATTGCTTTTGAATACTTTGATTAACAAATTATTTTATACTTGCCAGTGACAAATAATTTATAATCTTACCAAGATAGAATAACTTGTCATATTTTAGATAATACTTACAGATAGTGTTCCAAATTGTTAAAATTTTACCAACCGGTTAGTTGCCAACTATAGTTGGCAACTAACCGGTTATATATATCACGTGATATTTTCAGATATTAGCCAATCAAATCCAAGAAATCATTCCGAATTATCCCGAATAAGTAGAATATTTCGGAATTATATTAATTGAATGATTAGTTGGTTAGTTGATTAAAAAAATTTTCTAACTGGTTAGTTGGAAAGTTGTCAACTATTCGATTTTTCAACTAATGATTTGGAACACTATTTACAGACTAATTTAATCATTGCCACTAAATCAATGAAATAAGAAATCAAATTAAAAGTGAATAAGCACTTTATTTTTCATAATGGTGGGAATAAGAAGTAAATTTCCGGTTATATGAAAGTCCGAAGGCCTCATATAGCTGAAGATCTATTAGCCAATTTCCCTGCAGTAAAAAATGAGGGTGTTATTTTCATGACAGTGGATCATATAAATTGTAGTAGTATACTCAATATTGATAACGAGATCAGTATAGTATATTTTTAAAATACCATATAAGCATGAAATAATGCTCGTAGGAGTTATTTTGAAAATCGAGTCCTTTAAAAACAATTCATATGGTCTCAAATTAGTGCTCAGAATGTCCCGAATCCTAATAATGATAAGTACACATAATTTATGTAATTATATGTAGATTATTCTCCATAATAAATGTTTTATAAATGCACCTTTACCTAAAAACATGTATTTATTGAAGGTCAACTATATTGAATTTAAAAAATCTTCTTATATTTCGAAATAATGCACAGGTGGATACTATTTCGCCCTTATATGGTAGATATTTTACACCCTTTTACCATATAATTTGTCATCCAACTATTCAGATCTTTCATAATATTTCTTGGCAACCAGCTACTCATATTCTGCCAAATTGTTTTTATTTTTAATTCTATATACTTACAGAATTAAAAAAAAAATTATCAAATTTGAATAGTTGGTTGTTGAGAAATTTTTGAATTTTTTTTTTTTTGCAAATATGAATGTCTGTGAAGTCATGTGATAAGTTAAATGGTGCAAAAAAAAAAGAATTCAAACCAAATATTTTTAATATTTCTTTTTTTTTTTTTTTTTTTTTTTTTTTTAATGTTAAAGGTGAGACAATGCTCTTATATATTTCTAATATTTCTTAACAACCAACTATGCAAATTTGATGAACTTTTTTTTATTTTAATTCTGTGAATTCACAGAATTAAAAATAAAAAAAAAATTTTATTTTATTTTAATTCTATAAGGGGGTATCCATATTTAATATTAAACGATGTTTGTAGTACCAGATGCATCCCGATACAATATAAGCATATCGCTATACCTAATATAGAGCGAGGTTGGTAAAGCCACGATTTTCGAAAAAACTGTTGGAAACGTGTACTCGTCATATATATGCGCTCATTTTGTAAGAGTACAATTATACTTCAATCATATGTATGCACTCATTCTGTAAGAGCACTTTTTTTTTAAATAGCTTCGGCAACTAATAAATTACACTTCAATCATTTGTATGCGCTTATTCTGTAAGAGCACTTTTTTTTAAATAGCTTCAGCAACTAATAAAATTATACTTCAATCTAATTTATTCACTACTAACAAATACCTAGTGATCTGAGTTAATTGGTTACATATTTGCATAGGGTGTGTGTTATTTTCACATTTATATAGGGACCCAGTGCTTTTAGTATTTAAAAGTTAAGATCTGGTGTTTTAGAGTTCATTTGTAGGTTTCACTTCATAGTTTTTGGTGTTGTCATTTAGGTGCTCTTATGAATATGGATTTCGTCATTTGGGTAGCTTTGCCACATCATCGCTTTATTGGAGCCTTCCGGTGTTACTGTTGATATGGATCTCATCACTTGGGTGGTTTCATGTAGTCACTTTACTGAAGTCTTCCGTTGCTCCGGGTTTTGTTGCTTCTGGTGTTCTTGTGTGTAGATTTTGCTGCTTGTAGTGGCTCAGCATCATTGTGAAGTTTGCCACTTGTAAGTTAAGTGTAGATCTCATTGTTTGTGTCATTGTCAACTTCGTTGTTATACTTTGCAAGAACTTTACACTAGTTAAACTATTAATTAGTTGATTGAATTTTGAGTTTCACTAGAATTAGGGAGAATTCGAAGATTGTTATTGGAATAGATTTGGAATTGAATATAATATAATATTGGATATTGCTATTCGAATAGAATTGTAGCTGAAAAGATGAACATAAGGCATTTATTTATTATCAAATATTGGTAAGATTCAAGTGTTTATGTTCTTTATTTGTGAATCTGTTTTGCTAATTATTAATAAATAATCTTTATATTTAACGCTGATTAAAATGGTTAAGGCGAATTAAATGATGATTCGAAGGGTATTATCGATAAGTATTTATTTTTTTTATGCATGAAACTTTTGTTTTAATTACAGGCTGAATGAATTATTAATGCAAATTAATTATTTAAAGATACTGTATAGCACTGACTACAGTACCCTTGCTATAATACCCCCAATAGAAAAGACCCGGGTATAGTTCATGGGTTTATGATTCAGAAAATTGAAAAAGACCCGGGTATAGACATATATATACTTAGACTTAAAGTCCTTATTAAATAATATTGAACCCATAATTAGTACCCAGGTGGGTACTATTCAAGAAATTTGATGGTTTATTGAAAAGTACCCGGGGTACTGTAGTCAGTGCCATATGGTACTAATTATATAATGGTAAAGGTTTTTTTTAGTTAGAATTAGGGGTTTTGATCTGGTAGTTAGGAGTAGGTTGTAGTTCCTTTATTCCTTCATTCATCTTTTCGGTTACCCTTTTGTTCATCTCTTCAGTTACCTTTTTGTTCATCTCTTCGATTACCTTTTCATTCATCTCTTTGGTTACCTTTTTGTTCATCTTTTTGATTATTTGGTTACCTTTTTGTTCATCTCTTCGGTTATTTTTTTGTTCATCTCTTCAGTTACCTTTTCATTCATTCATTTGTTTGCTTTTTAGAGGTTTAGTTTAAGGTTATAACTAAAAATTAGATCTACTGTATTTTGCTTAAAGATGAATTATGTATTTTAAATACAATCAGACCCCCCTAAATGCACCCTCTCTAAATGCAGCACCTCTCTAAATGCATGTCTTCTTTTGGGCCAAACTAATATTATATCTATAGATTTTTACCTCCGCATGTGCTAGAGCTGGTCCTGATGACATGTATTTAGAGAGGTCTGACTGTAATATAAAAATATGTAAAATAATAATAAATTTATTTATTTGAAGACTGAGTTTTCGCTTTGATTTTATTAAGTGTTTTATTGGTTTTCTTTAATATAATTTGTTTATATACATTACTAAAATTCAAGTTTAATAACTAAATTCGCATTCAATAACTAACTTTTTTCCCAATTCACTATCTAAAGATGGGCAAGGTAATAATGTAAGTAAATAATAATACTTTACTAAACTTGCTTGTCTCTACACTATCTAATCTTCATGCTCCTATTATTTTTAATTATATTACTAATGTCATACTTAAAACTAATCCCTAAATTAATCAATTCATAATTGAGATTTGATCCATTTAACTATTTTGACCTGATCAAATTAAGTAATTAAAACTCCCAGCCCTGATTATTAAGTGATTTTACGTGGATACGTGACTATATTGAGCGATATTCATGCCCAGTTCTCAATAATTTTGAAGCTAAAACAGGGAATTCTATTGAAACCATTCTCCCATACAATAACTTATTGATACACTCTAAATTAAATATAATCATTGAGGCACTAATTCAAAAAAAAAAGTAATAATAATTCATATTATATATTAGCACAGGCAACATTACTATAATAGTATGTATTGAACAAAATTCTTAAAGCGTATCTGCCATATTCATATCAACAAGAATCTCTTAAACGTGCTAGTCGTCTTCAAAAAACAAATTTAACATTGTTAGCTTAATAATATGTCTAATTGAGAATACCAGTATTTCAATTGCATTTATACTTCCATATTCATATCATCAAGAATTCGCATAACCATATTCAAACCGAGGTACTAATTCAAAAAAGAAAAGTAATAATAATTCATATTATATATTAGCACAGGTAACGTTACTATAATAGTACGTATTGAACAAAATTCTTAAAGCGTATCTGCCATATTCATATCGGCAAGAATCTCTTAAAAGTACTGGTTGCCTTCAAAAGACAAATTTAACATTGTTAGCTTAATAATATGTCTAATTGAGAACACTGGTATTTCAATTGCATTTATACTTCCATATTCATATTATCAGGAATTCGCATAACCATATTCAAACCAAGATACTAAATCAAAAAAAGAAAGTAATAATAATTCGTATTATATATTAGCACAGGTAATGTTACTATAATAGTATGTATTGAACAAAATTCTTAAAGCATATCTACCATATTCATATCGACAAGAATCTCTTAAACATGCTAGTCGTCTTCAAAAAACAAATTTAACATTGTTAGCTTAATAATATGGGCTGAGTGCTAAAGAAAGGAACGAAATTGACATTTTGTAAATCACGAGATAAACAGTAATTTGTGTTTTGAACACAACAATGATTGACATGCATCCGATCTAATTTGGTCATCAGAAAATTGGGTCGTGTAACTGGTAAGTTTACGAAAATTTCCGATAAGTGCTGAGAAAAGGAACAAAATTGACAAACTATTTATAGTTCCTAGAACAAATTTTATTTAAATCGTTAATATTCTAAAAAGTTCTATATAGCACTTTTTTTTTTTTTTACGTAGCCTGGCTCAGCAAAGCCAGTAAAATATCTAACGTCCATGAACCTTGATGTCATGGCAATATTGGTTTAAAATGATAATTTACAAAGAGGTTAATTTTTATATTCTGTATTATATGCCAAAGTAGAAAATCAATCAATCTAAACTCACAAACTTTTATACAT